CGGGGCCATGCGGGAGTACAAGGTGGTGGTGCTGGGCTCGGGCGGCGTGGGCAAGTCGGCGCTCACGGTGCAGTTCGTGACGGGCTCCTTCATCGAGAAGTACGACCCCACCATCGAGGACTTCTACCGCAAGGAGATCGAGGTGGACTCGTCGCCCTCGGTGCTGGAGATCCTGGACACGGCGGGCACGGAGCAGTTCGCCTCCATGCGGGACCTCTACATCAAGAACGGGCAGGGCTTCATCCTGGTCTACAGCCTCGTGAACCAGCAGAGCTTCCAGGACATCAAGCCCATGCGGGACCAGATCACGCGCGTGAAGCGGTACGAGCGGGTGCCCATGATCCTGGTGGGCAACAAGGTGGACCTGGAGGGCGAGCGGGAGGTGTCGCTGGGCGAGGGCAAGGCGCTGGCCGACGAGTGGAGCTGCCCCTTCATGGAGACCTCGGCCAAGAACAAGGCGTCGGTGGACGAGCTCTTCGCCGAGATCGTGCGGCAGATGAACTACGCGGCGCAGCCGGGCGCCGACGAGCCCTGCTGCGCCGCCTGCGCCATCCTCTGAGCGGCGCCGCCGCGACCGTTAGCGGCCGTTGGGGCGGCGGCGCCGCCGCGACCGTTAGCGGCCGTTGGGGCGGCGGCGCCGCCGCGACCGTTAGCGGCCGTTGGGGCGGCCCGCCCGCCGCGCGCGGCCGCCCGGGGAGCGCCGGGCTCTCTATGCAAAAGCCGGGTCCAGAGCCCGCCGAGCGGCCCCGCTTTCCTGCTGTACCCGAGCGTCGGCTCTACCCCACCCCCTGTGGGGTTTTATTATTATTATTTCCCCTCAAATCAGCTGTGAAAATGTTACAAATCTGCACAATTTTCTAGGTGTGCGTGCGTGATTTCATTTTTTTTAATTATTATTTTAGTCGGGTGGGTGGGAGTGTTTATTTTTTATTATTATTTTTTTTTATTATTATTTTCTCCTCCTCGGTTGGCGGAAAGCGCTGCCGATGTGGGGCTCTGGCAGGCACGAGGAGGTGCCCAGCCGCCCGTGCCYGCGGAGTGCCTTGGAGCCAGGCCTTGGAGCTGAGCCTTGAGCCGGGCCTTGGGGCCGGGCCGCGCACAAGGGCCTTTTGTCAGTGGGATTTATTTCGCATTCTCCGTCTGAGCCTTTTTAACTGTAATCTCCATGTCTTGCGAGTTTGGGCTGCGTTGGCTCCAAATTTGCAAGAATTGAGTCTGTGGGGATTTGGGGGTTGAGGGGGGGCACAGATGCTCCTTTTTTTTTTTTTTTTTAATTATTTTATTACTAGTATTTTGTTGTGGGGTGTACCTCTAGCCAGCAAAGAAAGAAATCTTGATGTTGTGATGTAATGAGAAAATTTGAACAACTGTTGTCTTAATTCCAGACATGCAGTTAAGAGATATCTATCCACTTTAAGGATTTTAATACACTTTTTTTTTTTTTTAAAGAAAACAACTTTGTGCCATTTTATGTGTTATGTGGAACACAACTTTTGCAGATACTATTGATTGTGATTTATGTCTTAATAGTAACAAAAGGGGTGAGAGGACAGGGCTTGAATTAGGTAAGGACAACAGCAAAACCCAAGACTCTAATAGGTAGCAATTTTTAATGCAGTTTTAATCAGTATTTAGGTGCTGGTCCTGTGTGATGTAGCGTCCAAGTGGAACACTATCCAGGAGGAAGATGGCATGGCTTTAATTGCAGCGCTCTTGTAAGAGCAGAGCTTTTCTTCTTACTGGGAACAACATGTTTATTGGAGTGAAAGTTTAAAGGTCAAGTGTTTGTAAAACGTAAGCTTTTCAACTTGTTGTAGCATAACTCCTGAAAATGTGCGTGGAAACTCATTCCTTTCCTGGCACGGAGCAGGGCTGGGGTGGGAGGACACAGGTACCTTGTGCGCTTTGGAAAGCCTAGCAGGGAGTGCACTGGGCTCTGTTATCTTCCTCTTAACCCCTTCTGTAACGTTAACACAAAAAGGACCGTTTTCTTTCCGGTGCCAAGAAGAAATGAAATTTCCATACTATAAGAAGCCAAACGTTTAGCAATTGTCTGTAAAGATAGCTTTGATCRGGGCGCTTGAAGCTAAACTCTGTCATTCCTACTATAAACGTGACCRTTTCCTCTGTTTTAAATAGGAAAGCTTTCGCTTCAGCACTGGCAAGGTTTAATACTGCTGAAATTGCAGTGACTGAGATTTGAGTGATAAACTTGTATTATAGCCGAGAACTGGACGCTTACTTTAGCAACATCATTGTCTAACAAAAGTTTGGAAAAGATTATCTGCTTAATGCATAATATAGGTGTCTCTTCTCCTGAGCTCGCGTGAATCCCTGGAGCCRCGAGGAAGTGTTCTGTTAGACACCTCCCAGCACAGCTAAAGGAGCAGTTGGGGGCCTTTAAACAGCAGGTAAATTGACCCAGCTCCCACCCCTCCTCCCATTTTTAAGCTAAAACTGAAAATCCCATTGAAGCACAACTTACCTTTGAGATTCCTTTTTATTTTTTTTCTTTTTATGAATTAGGAAGCCTGGTCCTTGAGGACTTCCACACTAGGCCAGATGAATAATGTATACTGATGTCAGGGGCTTTTTCTAACAAAAGGTTTGCATGGAATACAAAAAGCTTTATTGCAGGAATGTCTTGCATTGAAGTTTAAAAGAAAATGCCATAAATTATATCTCAGCTACTTCTGTGGTTCGATTTTGCCTTAAATTTGATGGAAATATAGAGTTGCTAGCACCTACAGTACGGCGTTTGCCCCAAATCAGTGTACTGAAAGCAGTTCATTCAACTTAGGGGAAAAAAAGCAAAACCTTAAACAGTTTTCCCATCAGAACAGCAGCTTTTTAATGTTTTGGAGTGCCTCCTGTTTTCCTATTGCCTATCTGATGACTGAGGAGTGATGTAGAAATGTGTGTATGTAGCACACACAGTGGAACATAAAGTGCAGTTTTCCCCTGCCTGGCAGAGCAACTGAAGGCGGCTTAATAAGGACTGTGGATTATGCTGGGGGGGTTGTAGATATTATGCTCTACTTCTTGCCAAAAAGGTGTATTTGTTAAACAATGAAGGATTTGAGAAACCATGTCAAAGGTCTGATCAGTTATGAATGTATTTAGGTGTTTGACATTCTCTGTGACTCGCTGAGGACAGTGCAAAAAGTAGAGCTGAGTAGTGTGATCTTCCAAATACTCTGAAGTTTTCTTGGTGCTTGTTAAACACAAACCTTGTCTATAAAGTAGAAAAAGGAAAGTACTACTTTAACTGGACTGAATAATGAAAGCTGTATTTCCTTCTACACTAGAGGAAAATGTTGTATCAATATAAAGGTACTCTTTTATTCCTTTTCCCTGTGGGAATATGTTATACCAGTATCGATACAAAGGTGACATACAGCTCTTTCACAGTGAGGGTTGAAAAAAAAAAAAAAAAAAAAAATTAATTGATTTGCAAGAAAAATCACATTCCCAGCCAAAATACTTCCTAACAGTGCTGAAACTGTGTGAACAAGGCCTTAGTTTAAGGCTTGTCTTATGGCCGCATATTCTACTGTACATAATGATTGTATTTTTAAAATCCAAGCTTGTTCTCTTGCAAGAAAGTGTGTCTTTGAAACCGAGTCTCTGTGGTCATAATTGTGCTGTGTTCTGGGCCTYGTTTCCAATACAAGCATGGTTCTTTCCAGTGCGACGCTCGGGCTTTATTGATGCCTGCAGCCCTGCAGACAGTGCTAGACTCTGCGCCCRGGGGCTCACGGAGGGTCTGCCTCTCTCCAAAGGCTGCCTGGCAGGTGCTCTGCAAAGGGTGTTTTAATAAAGGGCAGCTGGCTCTTGATGGCCTCTTCTTCTGGGTGCTCCTTGCGTGCAGGTGTTGCTAAATATCTGTTTTCCTTCTGAGTGACAAAATGCAGAAACTTCCATTCTAAGGATTTCGTGCGGAAAGGAGGGCAAGTGTGTTCTTTCAAATCCTCTCCCGTGTAAATTACTGGACAACTCCCATGATAGTAAATGGAAAATAGTCGGAGCCCGCCTGCAGTTAGAAGCTCTCCTGCTCTCCCAACTTGTGCAGTGGGCACTGCAGAAACGGCCCTGAACAGACCAGCACCGTGTCTGGAGCGCTTAGTTCGAGTGCCCCTTTGTTTTTGACTTGCTGCAGAGTAAAGTACCCCTGTGAGTTCTGGTCAAAGATGACATAGCTCCAAGTACTGATCTTTGTAGCTTGCTTACAGCCTGTTGCCACAGTGCTTGTAGCTTCATGCAAAACGTGTGTCCGAACGCTTCTTCGTCCTGTTGTGCTGATATAAAATGCTGTTCTGGAATCTGCTTTTTGTAGGAACTCAGCATCTGCCCAACTTCGAGAATTGGTGGGGTGGGGAGGACACTGGATCTTTGGTCAACGTGCGCGTGGCAGATAAGAGAATCATGAAACAGCAGGGCCTGGCTCAAAGGAATTAGCTGGAGCTCACGTTGGTGCTGGGACGTGTTCTTGTTGGGTCGATGGGGCTCAGCGCGTGTTCCTGTTGCTGGGGACCTCGGAGCGTTGGCCAGTTCGGGGAGGGGGGAGCGCCTGTGTTTGGGAAGCAGGGGCGCGTTCCTGAAGGCGGGAATGGAAACCTCTGCCCAGGTGATCCCGGTCCTGCGTGCCGGCAGCCTGCGTGATGCTCCGCAGAGCGGAGGAGCGCAGAAAGCCCACAACAACCACCACAAGTGTCGCCAAAACGACTTTATTTTTCTTTTTTTCAGCGTGTGTGTGCYCTGATGCACGGCAGGTGCTGCTTTAGTGCTGATTCGATAGCACTGTGGTTCAGGCAGTGGCCCTGTGCGTGAAGCAAACACACTGGCTCAAGAAAGGCATTTTATAGGGAAGTACTTAATCTGCAATCCAATGCCATGTCTTAAGTCCTGTCTGAAACATAAGAAATCAGTTAACCAGAACTTGCAAGTTGTTCAGCTAAGTTTCAGAAGACTGGAAGCACCTTTTGTATGACAATGGCAAAGATTTTATTTTCCTTCAACAACCTCTGTGTTTTCCATAGCTTTGGAAAAAGAGGACACAAGTTACTAAAAATCTCTAGCTCCTTTTTTGGAAATCCTGAACAAAAAAATATTTCTAGGAAGATGGTGTCTGACATGTAACCTCAATGATACAAAACTCAATTTCTTCCTACAGAATTCATTGTTTTTAAGGGAACATAATATATAAAATTTCCCCAGTTAATAGACTAGTTAATAGAGGGATTCCCCTCTTCTCGGGGGCCTGGCTGCAGAGCTGCTCTCCCATTCCAGAACAACTGGCCTCGTCAGAGCGGGGCTACTGGTTTCTTTTACCGTTGATGTGCTCCTACTGCCCTCTTCTGCGATGCCAGGATGAAATGGGGTGTTTTAAGTTGACTTTGAGGATATTTATAAATGTCTTTCTGCAAGAAAGAACTAATCTGAAATACAAGATGTTTTTCTTTCCTTTGAATGAGGTTTCGGAGGAGGTATGTGTCAGTATTGGTATTCCCTCACCTGCTGCTCACCCATGATATTAGTCTAATGCTTGTCTCTACTGTGTTACTGTTATCCCAATTTGAATAATTAAGATGAATGCTAGCA